GTCTGACTCCTTGGCAGGTGGATTCCTGGCACCTTGGAACAGTATCTGGCACATAACAAGCATTCAGTAAATACTAAGTGAAGTAATGAATGAACAAATCTTCTCTACAAAGAGTCTTCCACTTCTAAGAATTTATGCTATAGATACAGTTCCACAAGGGCAAGATTATGTGTATACAAAATATTTTATTTCAGCATTATTTATAATAACAAAAGCTTAGAATCAACCCAAGTGTTCATCAACAAAAACCGTTACTGTGTGCCGCAGAGTTGGAACCGATCCAAAGCTGACATTCTGGTGGGTTTTCAGAGGCAATTAATTGCATGGGAGGAGGGAGGAAACTGCCCATATTTCGCCCACAGAGCAGTTGGTGGATTTGAACCGCATGCCTTTGGAATTGCAGCGCAGCTTCTTGACACTAGGCCACCAGAGCTCCCTTAACAAAAACTACAACTATAAAACTAGAAGCAAATATAAAATGGTAGTCGTGAAAAAGAATTAAGATACTGTCTCAAATGGGCCAATCTCTACAGTATGTGTATATATTTTTTCTTTCCCTTTGCTGTCTAGTCTTAACTGAAGGATAGCTAGCCCTCCAGCAGGTTTTCAGAGGTTGCACATCACTTGGGAGGAGACTGTCCATGTATTTTCCACAGAGCTACTTGGAGATTTGGACTGCGAGAGATAGTAGGCATCATGTTAACTGCTTGCAAGCCGATTGACTATGCCATCAAAGTAACCTAGGATGTAGTTCCAAGAGGGGGAAAACCCCAGCAAAATGTGTGCCTAATACTCTATCATTTGTAATCATCTCTGGGTCATACTGGATTCCCCACTGAGCTTCATAATATATACTATGCAATGTATAGTAAATATTTAGTCAGTTTCCTGACTTTCTTCACCAATCTTTTACTGAATCACTTTAATTTTCCCTCCAAAGTGTTTTAATCCATCTACTTCTCTCAATTTTTACTTCCATCATTACTCTTGTCCAAGTCACAGCCATTTTTTCCATTTAGACCTGTTCCAGTAGATTTCCAGCTGATTTTTCCACATTCACTCCAACCAGCAGTCTTAAATTCTTCAAAATATACATCATGCCCTGCTCAAAACTCAAGAGCTTCCTAGTGTTCTTAGGGTGAAAACGAAAGCCTGCACCCAGATGCTGCAAAGCTCTGAAGGGTAGCCTCCTCATCAGCCTCAGCGTAGTAAGCTCCCCAGCACTGGGCTCCAGCCACACTGACTTTCTCTTAGCCCTTCGGCCTCAGGTATCCACGTCTGCCTATAACCACCATTTCCTCAGGAAAGCCTTTCTCAAGCCACTGGACTAATCAGAGCGCTCTTTTACATGCTGATTATACTATTTTATGTGGCACTCATGAAAAACAAATGCTGCTAAATTATTATACCTCCATTCTAAGATGTATCCTTAATTAAGAAATGTTAAAATCTTGAATCTTAGAATCACTTAAATAGTGCCACCGCCACTAGACTGAATATTCTCTAATAAAAGGGCAGAGACTTTGTTTTGCATGCACCTTAACATTATATTCAGGGAGCTCTGGTGGCTTAGTGGTAAAGGGTTGCACTGCCAACTCAAAGGCACACAGTTTTAATCTATCAGCTGCTCTGCAGGACAAAGACAGGCAATCTCCTCCTGTAAAATCTGCTCCAGCTCAAAACACTGGAGGGTCAGAAATGAGTTGGTTCCAATTTGATGGCACATAACACTGTAAGTTTACTCATCATTTCCTACTGGCCCAGGGTGGGTGCTAATCAATTATTTATGGAGTAAATGACTAAATCATCTTAGCAGGTTCCACAAAATATAGGAGAGGACATTGGTAAGGCTTGGTAACTATTTTGGGAACACAGGAAGTCAAAAGCTGGAGGGGCCACCAAAGGCGCCTCCTCTTTAGATATGAGAAAGCTCAAGGGATCATTAGTCCAAGATGCCACACTTGGTTAGTGATTGAGACAGGATTGGATACTCCTTCCTTAAAAGCATCATCTCTGCCACAGGAAGGTCTACTTTTTGCATTCTATTATTCTTTGCAACCTATGTAGTTAAACTGACAAGTATCCAATGTTTTCTAGCGTGAGATACAATCAGTGGTGGCTCCCAGTTGCATACCCAAAAGAATCTCTCCTCTAGCATCGAAAACCTTCCAGCCAAGGCCCACCTTTGTCAGCGGCTGCCTTCTTCTTTGCAGCATAGGAACTGTTAGATTACTTCCATTCATTTTTTTTTCTTCAATATGATCCAATATTCACCACTTCCAGGTTACTGTTATAACTACCCCATCCATACATTTCTACCTGGCTTCTCGTGGGGAAAATGCTGCACTACTTTGCAGAATGACATACTGCTCTGTAAATGTTTGATGGATGTTTCAGACAGGATTCTCTCTCACACAGCTCAGGCAAGAATTTCTCTACCAACAGGGACCTTTAAACGTTTCTGAGTCCCAAGTCAGAACCCAGCACACAAAGTGCTATGACAAAATGCAGAATCACCCCTAGCTTTATTACTTTTGCATACTGGAACATCCTAAAACATGTATGTGTACCCATGTACATTTGAACAAATTGAGCACAAACAAATGAGAGGCAGCTCAGCAGGTCTCTGTGCCTGGGAAAGGGAACTAGGCTCAAATACTGGCTTTGGAAAATCTTGTAGAAAATACAAAATGAAATCTTACAGAGAATATAAAATGAAGTCTCCTGCTTGGCATGGCAGTTACTAGCTGGTTTTCAGGATTCTGGATTAGATAAGTTTCCTACTGAGGACAGAGCCATGGGATAAATGTAAATTATCATGGAGCGTCCAGTCTTCTCTTTCCTAAACTGTGCACCTTCTTTCTTTCCTACACCTTAGCTTCTGTAAAACCAGGTCTTATATTTCTAGGTGGGATTCTGAAGTAACTACTGAGAAATATAGGAAAGGGAGCCAAAACAGCAGATCTTACATTTTCCCTGAAGAAAAACACACCTATAGGCTGGGAAGAGATAATGAAGAACTGATGGCTTTATTAACACATGTTCACCTGAGCCAGTGAGTCTGCCCACTCATCCTGCCCAACCAAGAAGCAATAGATTCTTTCTGCCTACGTAAGGGGCATCCCAGAACAAAAGGTACAGAAGAAAGAACTAAAGGAGAAAAGGACAGAAATAGAGAAATAAAGGGGAGAATGGACAGGGGAAATAATGATTGCTAATAGCTAATATTTACTGAGTGCTTATTTTGAACCAGATACTTTGCCAAACATTTAATCCTGGAAAACACCCTAGAGAATATCATCTTATTTCATAAAGAAACTGAATTTCAGAGCAATTAAGTAACATGCCCAAGGCTCCAAGAGATTAAATACAAAGACAGGCTTGCAATCCCAAAGTCTGATTTCTCCACAAAGCGGTAGGGTCAGTGGTATCATGATGACATTTACATGCAGATTGATTTCCCTGTCTTTCTTTTTGCCTCAATCCTTAAACAATTCTGAAATCTCAAAGAGCTAGGTGATTTTAAGGTTTTGCTCATCCACTAAAGAGATTTGTATTGGGAACTGAGGCCTGGGAGACACACTGCTCAGAAGTAGACATCATTTAAAGAGGAAAGGATTTGAAGTTGGGAGCCAGTTGATTACTATGTGGCCCACTCACCTATTGCCTTTGGTCAGTTACCCAAAATAGCTCACCTCCTTAGCCCCTATTTCTAAGAACTAATCCCTATCTGCCGGGGAAGGAGGGACAATCTCCTCCTGTACCAGTCAGATCTGATTTGACAGTACACTCACACACACAAAAAAAAAATTAAAAAAAAAAAAAGAACTAATCCCTACTCCCCCGAGTGTCAGCCTTACTAGTCCTCCTGTTTCTCAAGGATAATGGCTGTTTTAATAGAAAGTATCTCACTGCCTCCCTCGAATCCTGCCACCTCCTCATCACTCTCCCTCTGATGAACTGGATGTCACTTCTGGTCTTCATCCTTCTTCATTAGGACTCAATCTCCTCCTGTACTCCAAGAGTTCTCCTTCCACCTTCCAGCAGCACTTGGAGGCACAGCTAGCCTGTCTCAGGTGTCCAGGCTTTGTGCCCACCATCCACCCCCTCCCTTCCTCACATCCTTGGGGATTTTCTCCGGCCCCAAGTGAAGGCCTTGTCTCCATCTTCATCCTTCTTTCCTTTGCTTTCTTACAGTCCTGGGACCCCTGCTCCCAAACTCTTTTCTCTCCTCTTGAGTAAGAATAATCATCTCATTTTGGGGCTCGTGAGATCTGGGATAGTCTGTTTCCCTTTTTAAATCGATGAAAATTAAAGCTCAAAAAAAGACAGTGACTCGCCCAAGGTCACACACAGTCTGCTAGTTTGTTAACGGTAGAGCAAGGTTTGGGACCAATGGACTTCTGCAACCAGGAACTGGGTGGGGATGTGAGCTTCTCTTTCCTTAGTAGCCCCTTCCTCACTGCAGGAGATAATGTCCTGCAAATATGGGAACACAGAGGAGGGGGTCTTCATGTGGTTTTAAGGGGCACGTATGGGCTTTCTGAGGAACCAACAAGCGGGCCTGAGGCGAGATGCATGTGGCTCACCAAATATTCCAAGAGAAAAAACTGTGGTCCTCACCACTCCCCTCGTCCTGCGGTTACCACATCTCCCGCCTCCTTTCCTCTTTCTCGATCTTTTCCTACAAATCCACCCGTTACCTCTTTCCACTCTTGTCTTCATCCAGACTCCCTACTCTCGTCCTTCTCAATTCCCTCATCACCACCCCCACCCTCGACCCCGTTCATCCTCCATCATGGCCTCCCCCGCCCCTTCTCCCTCAAATCCCGCCCCATCCCCCTCCCTTACTCCTCACCCTAACCCCTCATTTTCCTTCGCGCTCCCCTAGGGTCTCGGGGTATCCCGTGACCTTTCCGCCCCCCCCAGCCACGGCCCGGGCCACAAGGGGCGCTGTGGGACCGCCCCGGGCCTCTCCACCCCCGCGCAGGGACGTTACCATGCCAGAGCCTCCGAGCAGCTGGGCCGGCTCGGCCCACCCGCCAGTAAAAGCTATTCTGATTGGTCGGGCCGTTGGCTGGAAGGCGGGGCCAGTGGAGGTTTGCACCCCTTCGTGGCTGGGACTCCTCCGGTGGCTCCCGCCGCCTAGTCGAGCCCTCAACCGGCCCGGTGCTCCCGGGCCCGGCCCCGCCCCACCCGGCGCGGAAAGCAAAGCCCCACCCCCTGACCACGATATCCGGGCCCGCCCATCGAGAGGCGGGGCGCGCCCGCTTCAGGGCTCTGGACGGCTTGTACCAGCGCATGGCCAAACAAAGCCGCGCAGAATGTTTTTTTGGGCCCACCAGCGTCTCTGCAACTCCCCTGCCTGCCCGCTCTCGTCTCCAGACCTCGGTTTCAATGCTGAGAACAGCTTGCACCAGCGCAGAGCTAAGCAAAGCCGCGCAGAACGTGGGTTCCGGCCCACTGGCGCCTTTGCAACTCCCCTGCTTGCCCGCTGTCGTCTCCAGATCTCTGTCGGCCGGCAGGGTGCGTCTGCTGTGCACCAAGCATTTAGAGCTGCCCTTCCCGAGGGCCTCCCAGCGCTCGCACCACAGATTTGGCTTGGACTGCTTCGTTTGTGTCGTACTTCGGGCTCTTTACTCTTTACAAAGCATTTAAAAATTTGATGAATAGTTATTTTTTAAGTTTCATTCATCCACTAAATTTATATTGATCATCTCTTGTGCTAGGGAGTTCTGGTGGTGGTATTGTCTATAAGGAGATGCACTGCTAACCCAAAGGTGGCGCTTCGCTGGAGGTTCAAATCCACCAGAAGCTCTAGGGGAAAGATGGGCAATGTTCGGAGCTATTGACACAGGAACAGATAATGGGGTTGGGTGTGTCAGAGACAAGACTGGCTCAAGGTAAGGCAGGATTCAGAGCTATTATATATGCATAGTGTTGCTATGAGTCGCAGGCGACATCATGGTGTTGCCTATTGGTCCATTGGTAAGAATTTTGTTTTCTTGGCGTGGAGATGCAATCCATTTTTAAGGGTATATTCTTTGATCTTTTGCAACAAGTGCTTAAAGTGCTCCTCACTCAACAAAACCCACTGGATACTTCGTTCTGACTTGATGGTATTGATGTTTTTATTATGTGCTAGAAGCTGTCCAGGCATTGGGCATACTGTAGCTTGTCTGTTTGGGCTTTTATAATTTAGTATTTATACCATTATTCACTTTTATACAATCATTCATTTGTTGTTGTTAGGTGCCTTTGAGTCGAGTACAACCCATAGTGGCTGAACACATATCTGAACCCTCTGCCATCTTCGCACTTCGTGACACACTAGAGCCCACTGCAGCAGTTACCATATCAATCCACCTGGTCGAGGGTCTTCCTCTCTTTCGCTGATCCACCACCCTTCCAAGCATCATGTCTCCCTGTACTTTTGGCAGTCCATGGGACGTTCAGTTCTCTTCTCCAACACCACAGCTCTTTTCTTCTGTCATCCCTATTCATTGTTCAGCACTCAGATGCATTGCACATTCAGAAAGGCCTGAATAAGATGAATCTTAGTCCTCAAACTGACATCATTATTCCTCAGTAATCTGGAGAGGGACCTAACCAGACTTCCCCAGTGCAATGCATCTCCTTTTTCCTGGCTGCTGGTACCAAGGGTGTTAATTGTGGATGTAAGAAAGATGAAGTTGTTGACAGTATCAATCTCTTCTCCATCCATCATGATATTGCCTATTAGTCCAGTAGTAAGAATCTTTATTTTCTTGACATTGAGATGCAAACTAAATTGAAGGCTACATTCCTTGAACTTCTGGAACAAGTGCTTCAAATCCTCTTCAATTTTAGCAAGCAAGGTTGTGTCCTCTGCATAACATCTGATCCAGATGCCACATTCATCCTCATAGTCTCTTGTTGTTGTTATGTGCCATCCGAGTCACTTGCAATTCATAGCGACCCTATGTACAACAACCCTAAATTCTGCTCTGTCCTGTGCCAATCGCACTGTCTCTGATACACCCATTTCGATTACCCCAGTCACTGAATCAACCTACCTCATAGAGGGCCTTCCCCTCCTGCGCTGTCCCTCCTCTCTCCCAAGCATGATTTTCCTCTCCAAGGACCGGTCTCTCCTCACATGTCCAAAGTATGTTAGATGGAGCCTCAGAATCCTTGCCTCCAAGGAGCCGCCTGGTTTAGCCCTCTCCAGGATGAATCTGTTTGTTTTCCTAGCAGTCCATGGTACCCTCAATACTCTTCTCCAGCTGGTACCCTCAATACTCTTCTCCAGCACCACAGCTCAAAGGCATCAATTATCCTTCTATCCCCCTTAGTCATTGTCCAACTCTCTGATGCATTACAAGTGATTGCAAAGACATGGCCTGTATCAGACACACCTTAGTCTCCAGAGAGACACCATTGCTCTTCAGTACTTTCTTGAATAATTTACTCCACATACAGATTAAATAGGTATGGAGAGAGAATATCCTGGTTGTGATCAATTAGTTGCGGCCTCCACTGCACTCGGACCAGCCTTGGAGAGAGAATATCCTGACACATACTGTTGTTTATTTTAAACCATTCAGTGTTCCCTGCTCTGTTCACACAACTGTCTCCTGGTCCAGGTATAGATATCACATGAGAACAATTTTAAGTGATTCAGACTCCCATTCTTCTCAATGTCAGCCACAACTTATGATCCACACAGTCAAATGCCTTTGCATAGTCAATAAAGCACAAATAGACATCCTTCTGGTATTCTCTTCTTTCACCAAGTTCCATCTGACATCAGAAATTATATCCCTAGTGCCACAGCCTCTCGTAAATCCTGCTTGAACTTCTAGCAGTTCTCTATGTATGTACTGCTCTAGCTGTTTTTAAATTATTTTCAGCAGTATTTTGCTTATATGTGATATTGTCCAATTATTTCCACATTCAGTTGGATCACCCTTCTGGGGAATGGGAACAAATATGGACCTCTTCAAATCCATTGGCCAGACCTCTGTCCTCCAAATTTCCTGGCAAGGACTGGTGAGCATACCCAAGGCTGCCTCTATTAATGAAAATAAACCAATTGATATCCTGTTGATTCCTGGGGCCTTATTTTTTGCCAGTGCCTTCAATGCAGCTTCCAAGTCCTTCACCACTTACTTCCTAAAATTTTTCAGTGTCAATCAGTTATTTTTGGTAAAGTGTATTCCCTTGATCTTCTTTTGATGCTTTCTGGGTCATTCAATATATTGCCCATAGCATCTTTCAATATTGCGACTTGAGGTTTAAATTTGCTTTTCCGTTCTCTCAGCTTGAGAAGTGCAGAGAAAGTTCTTCCCTTTTTACTCTTCAATTCCAGGTCTCTTCACATTTCATTATAATACTTTGCTTTGTCCTCCTGAGCTGTCCTATGAAATCTTTTGTTCAGCTCTTTTACTTTGGCATACTTTCCCTTTGTTGTGGCTTTTCAACACTCCAGTGCAATTTTTAGAGTCTCTTCTGACACCCATTTTGGGGTTTTTTTCTTTCTCCTCTGTTTTTGTAATGACCTTTTGCTTTTTTCATGGATGGTATCTTTGATATCGTCCCACAACTCATCTGGTCTTTGATCGTTGGTGTTCAATGCCTCACACCTACCTATTCCTAAGATGATCTTGAAATTCAGCTGAAATAGATTCAATATCATTTCCTGGTTCTTGTTAATTTATTTTCATTTTATTCGGCCTCAATTTGAACTTGTGTATGAATAATTGATGGTCGGACCCATAGCCCACCACTGTCTTAGTTTTGACTACCAATATTGATCTTCTCCAATGATTTCTTCCACAGATGTAGGCAATATGATTCCTATGCAGTCCATCAGGTGAGATCCATATGTAAAGTTGTCATATTAAGGAATAATAATTCATACATATATTTACGTATACATTCATAACAAACTGTGGCTGACTCTAAGAAGAATGGGAATCCCAGGACACTTCATCATACTAATGCAAAAACTATACTTGGACCAGGAGGCAGTCGTCAGAACAGAGCAAGGAAACACTTCATGGTTCAAAATTGGGAAGGGTGTACACCAGGGATGTATTCTGTCTCCATACCTTTTCAACCTGTATGCAGAACAAATTATCCAGGAGGCTGGGCTCTATGAAGAGAATTGTGGCATCAGGATTGGTGGAAAATCTATCAACAACAGTCTGCATTATGCAGATGACACAACCCAGCTTGCTGAAACTGAGGGGGACTTGAAGCACTTGCTGCAGAGGGTCAAGGACTACAGACTTCAATATGATTGAGGCTCAATGTCAAGAAGACAAAGATTCTCCCCACTGGACCAATTGGGAGCATCAGGATGGATGGTGAAGAGATAGAGATTGTTCACAGCTTTAGTTTGCTTGGCTCCACCGTCAACACTCTTGGCACCAGCAGCCAGGAAATTAAAAGACGTATTATGATGGGAAAGTCTGCTGTTAGGGACCTCTCCAAAGTACTGAGGAGCAAGGGTGTCACTCTGGAGACTAAGGTGCGTCTGATACAGGCCATGGTCTTTGCAATCACTTGTTACGCATCAGAGAGTTGGACAGTGACTAGGGAGGATAGATGAAGAATTGATCCCTTTGAGCTGTGGTGCTGGAGAACAGTATTGAATATACCATGGACTGCTAAGAAAACAAATAGGTTTGTCCTGGAGAGGATGAAACTAGGCTGTTCCTTCGAGGCAAGAATCCTGAAGTTCGCGTCTGACATACTTTGGACATGTTGCAAGGAGGGACCAGTCCTTGGAGAGGGACATCATGCTTGGGAGGGTAGAGGGACAGTACAGGAAAGGAAGGCCCTCTATGAGGTGGATTGATTCAGTGACTGGGGTAATCAGGGTGGGTGTAATCAGGGTGGGTGTGTCGGAGACGGTGTGATTGGCACAGGACAGAGCAGGGTTTAGGGCTGTTGTACATAGGGTTGCTATGAGTTGCAAGTGACTCGACAGCACATAACAACATTATTTATTAGCTCTAGTTACAGAGGAAACAAACACTTTAAAAGTCTCAGTGCAAAAAGAACCTCTGATTATTTTTTGCCTATCTTTAGTATTGATATATTTGAGAAGCATAACATTTAGTGTTTTTTTAAAAGTCAAATCATGTTAATTATATTAAAAGCCATATTAAAAACTAGATAAGCAGATAATGGACAACTAAACAAATGTCACTGGGGACAGGAGGTCCGTTAGAACCTTGTGTCTGGCAGTTAGAGGAGGAGCACTGGCTGGGCAGAGGGTGTCCAGCAGCCATCTTGGGTCGCCTCGCCCCAAAGTAATCAATATCCTGCGTCCAGGCTTCTGGTTGTGAGACACAGGGCATCTCTGGACTGTCAGAGCAATCCAAGATGGAGGAGGAGGACAACTCCCCACAGCTCGTGACCCCCATCTCAGTAAAAGCCATCATCTCGAAGATTGAGGCTGCCCAGCTGTCTCGTGCTCAGGAGGTAGCCCCTGACACAAAGTAGTGATCCTGGGTTTGGGCAAGATTGTAGCTTTGGATCTAGAGTCTGGCGACACGTGGCAACTTGGGTTTGCACACATTATTATGGACTCTCTTCCTCCTAAATTTGACCTCTTGAGGGCTGAGTTGGAGTCAACCCCCTTCGCCCGCCCACCGCACACCCGGTACAGGGCTGGCAATGAGAGGGAGCAGACTACAGAAAGGAACAAGGCTCCAGGGAACGGGGCCTGGGAAAGCTCCAGGATAGCCCTTGGGCATATAGTGGTGGTTCCTATGAGGGGAAGAGAAGAGACCCAGAGCTAATTCAAGGTCAGTCCTTGGCACCCTGTTTAGAATTTCCCAAGCCGAGCCCTGGAAACTGAAAGGGGCAAGGGAATGGCCAAAGGTTTAATGCATCCCATATATGAGCCATTTTCCATTTAAGCCTCTGATAATGAAGGTTTCTTGGAGCCTCATTTTTCTACTCTTCGGTCTTGAAGTCACCAGCAAGTTTTGAAATTCTGAAGAAATACTGCAGATTTTCAGTTTTTCTCTCTTCCTGATTTTGTTTCCAAAGTAAAAATGCTGATAATTATCATCATTGTAAGTGATGTGCGAGGCACTGTTCTAAGTGTTTTACAACTATTAATTCATGTTGTTGTTATGTGCCATTGCATCACTTGGGACGACTTATAGCCACCCTAAGTACGATAGCTCTCAACCCTGTCCTATTTTGAGCCAGCTTCACTGTCTCTGACACACCTGCCACCATTATCCCAGGATCTCATCTGGGGGTTTCCTTTCCTGCACTGTCCCTCTATCTTTCAAGGCATGATGTTATTCTCCAGGAACTGGTTCCGCTTTGGCCACATGTCCAAACTATGTGAGACAGAGCTTCAAAATCCTTGTCTCCAAGGAGCAGATTGGTTTCACTCTCTCCTAGATAAACCTGTTTCTTCTCTTGGCAGTCCATAGTATGTTCAATACTCTTCTCCAACATTGTAACTCTTCTCAATTCTTCTTCTGCCATCTTTGGTCACTGTACAGCTAGCTCTCTGACTCATATCAAGTAATTGTGAAGACCATAGGCTAAATCAGGCATTCCTTAATCTCTAGACTAACATCATTGCTTTTCAGCACTTTTGAGAAATCCCTGACAGTACCTCCCCCAGAGCAATTAGTCTTTTGATTTCTTGACTGCTGATTCCAAGACTATTGACTGTGGGGCTGACCAAGCTGAAATTGTTAATAACCTCAATCTCTTCCTGTGGTGAGAATCGTTGTCTTCTTGATGTTGAGCTTGAGTCCATACTGGAGACTGCAGACCTTGACCTTCTGCAGCAAATGCTTCAGTGTTAGCAAGTAAGGTTGTGTCATTTGCATAATGTAGCTTGTTAATGAGTCTTCCTCCAGTCCTGATGCCACACTCCTCCTCATAAAACCCTGCTTCCCAAATGATCTGTTTCACATACAGATTGAAAAGGTACGGAGACAGTATGCATCCCTGATGCACTCTTTCCTGATTTTGAACCATGCAGTGTTTCCTTACTCTTCTGATGACTGCCTCCTGGTCCAAGTATAGGTTTCTCAGGAGCACAATCAAGCATTCTGGGATTCCCATTCTTCTCAAGGTTAGCCACGATTCATAGAATCCTTACAAAAACCCTGGGTCATGGATGTTGCCATGACCCCCAGTTTGTAAGCTAAGTGACTTGTTTAAGGTCACCACCACCAGCAGGTGGCACCTGACTCCATCACACCCCTAAACACTACCATCTGTTGCTTCCACACAGGTTATTTCTTCCCGGCTTTCAGACATCTTGGACAATGTCAATTGTGTTATTAACCGCTTCCAAGAAGAATTAGGATATGATTTAAAAGACAAGGTAAAATCTCACCAGGTAGAGCAAAAGAGCAAGAACAGATTCATCTTGCTGGAGAAAATTGCCTCCTTCTCCAAAAGTGCTAAGACTAAGGAGAAACACCTGTATGAAATTCTCCGCTGGCTGGCTGACTGGGGTAGGTGTGCAGGCTGCGTGCAGCCCTGGGGGGGGGGGTGCCTTTTTCACCTTCAAGTGCTCTCCCAGCCCAGCCTCCTTTTGCCTCCCAACTTAGAGCAGCATTTGCTAGATGGGGACTGCAGGGGTCAGGGTGGAGGGCAGGGAGGACCAGATACCCTGCAGCACCCCTCTCTCAGTAAAACATTCTACATGCATGTCACTATGCATCACATCGACTCCCCACAGAAGACACAAAGATGTAATGGTCCAAAGCGAGACAGATCATGATGCCAGCTGCATATATGATGAATCTTGGGCATTAGCTGCATATATGATGACAGCATGGATCAGTTAGGTCATCTTCCTTTTTAAGGGGGGAAAAAATCCCAAAACTGACCATGGAGTTGGTCCTGGCTCATATTTGGCTCATGTGTTACAGAGAAGAAGTTGCCCATAAAGCTTTCACAGCTGTGATCTTTATAGAAACAGATTGCCAAGTCTTTTTCCTGTGTGCTGCTAAGTGGGTTCGAACTGCCAACCCTTAGGTTAGCAGCTGAGAACTTAGCTAGTGAGCCACTAGGGCTTATCTAATTTTTGTAGTATATTTTCTACCTGGCAGAGGCTTCACTTGTCACATCCCATTTAATCCTCACCCAAACCTTTTACAGGCAGAGAGACTGAGGCTTAGAGTAATAAGTAACTTGCCCACGATCATACAGTTAATGAAGAAAAGGTGAAACCAACCTAAAACCAAGCCTGCTGGTGTCACGCCTGTGCTGTAGGGCTGCTTGAGAAATCCTTACAAAACACACAGTTTTCAGCCTGAACCTCCCACTCTTTCTCCAGGTGACAGTCTGACCTGTGAGATCAGGGGCAGGAAGAGTGAGAAGGAAGAGGAAGCCCAGGACGAATGGATTGACGTGATGGAAAATGTTTTGCCTCTCTCCATCATTGCCACCAAGGGAGGCATCGAGTCGCTCATTTCCCTTTGTTCTACTCTTATTGAACAACAAAAGAAAAGGACACAATGTAGGCTCTAGGAGCACCTGGGAAAGGGCTTAGTGGGAAAGATGGATGCTGCCTTAGGGTGGAAGCTTTATAGGGCTCTAGCTTTCTTCCATAACAAAAGTTTTACCTGGGATGAGTGAGAGTCATGGGAGTAAAGTATAGAAGCTACTCTGAGAACTGAGAAGTTGTGAGCTGTCTATCATGGATAGGATTGATGTGGAGACAGGTCCCTGAGAGCTTCCCAGAGCTGAGGCCTCATGATGGTATGAGGGAATAAGGCTGGAAGACTAGGAATGCTGGAGTTTGTGGCTATAGTGTGAGGGAACATTCTTTCTTCACTTCATTACTAGCTGTCACACCAAGAAATCTGGTGAAGTTCAGCCAGACTTTCTTCTAGAACCTTCCAGACTGTAGCTGCTCCAAAGTCAATCCATTAACAACTTGGTTGAACATGACTGCTATCAGCCCTGGGAAGGATCTGAGATTAGCCGGCTCCTACATAGTGAAGATGAGAAAAGTGAAGTTTAGAGAAAGAATAAAAAATAAGCTACCCCCCCCCAAAGTCAGCTGTGAGGGACCTCTCAAGAGTACTGAAGTGCAACAACATCTGGCTGGAGACTAAGGTGTGTCTGATCCAGGCTATAGTCTTTGCAATTACGTGCCATGCATCAGAGAGTTAGACAATGAATAGGGATGATAGAAAGAGAATTGATGCCTTTGAGTTGTGGTGCTGGACAAGAGTGTTGAATATACCATGGACTGCTAGGAGAACAAACAGGTTTGTCCCGGAGAGGGTGAAGCCAGAATGTTCCCTGTAGTCAAGCATTCTGAAGCTTCATCTGACATACTTTGGGCATGTTGTAAGGAGGGACTGGTCCTTGGAGAGGGACATCATGTTTGGGAGAGTGGAGGGGCGTTGCAGGAGAGGAAGACCCTCGATGAGATGGATCGATTCTGTGAGTAGAGTGGTGGGAATGAATGTGTTTGAGACAGTGAGGTTGGTACAAGATAGAACGGTGTTTAGGGCTCTTGTACATAGGGTCGCTATGAGTCGTAAATGACTCAATGGCACATAACAACAATAACACCCCACCCCCCAAAAAAGTAAGCTCCCCTAGACACAGATTTTGGGCTCATGAATCTTATTCCAAAGAATGGCTTCAGAGTCAGGACAGACATGAGCTTGAATCCTATCTTTGCAATTTCTGCCTGTATGACTTTGAGAAAGTACTTCATTTCTCTGAGCCTCAGTTTCTTCATATGTAAAATGATGAGGATGCTATCTATCTGCCAGGATGTGAGGAGGCTTTCATACAGTGTGAGGCACCAAGGAAGGCAGCAGCCTTCAGTATGCTCAGAACATATTCAAGGAAGGCTTTAGAAACAGTGGCTAATGTTAGTGTTTTACCATTTGGATTCTCACTGGCCAGATTCACTATCAGTCATGAGTGGTCAACCGGGGGGCCAAGGTAGAGTCAGAGAGAGGTGGATAAGGACACGATCTCTTATACAATCTTTACCATACTGAATCTTAAAATACAGATTTGTCCAATTGATTTTCTTACTAAATTATAAACTCCTGGAGAGCAAAGGTATGTAATACACTAATTTCTTTTTAGAAATTATTAAGCACTAAGTACTTGGTACTGTGCTTAACACTAGAAATGCATGATCTAATAATGATCTAATTAAGTTCTATGAAGTATGATTTTTCTCATTTTTCAGATGAGGAAACTGAGTTACTGAGAAGTTAGGAGACTTGCCCAAGACAAGTAGGAAGAACGTAATTAAGTCCAAGTTACTTGATTGAGAGCCCAAGTTCAGAATCACTGGGATATATGGTCTCCTTGGTTATAACTAGATGCTAGCTTAACCTCGATATTGCTCAATTTCCATATTTCCTTCGGATGCTCATAGTTAATCTTTTCTGTCAGTGATGTTTAATGAATGGATATCCTTGGGCCATGATAAGGTCATTATTTTACTAGCCCTACTTATAGGTCCAAATGGATATAAATATGGTCAAGATCCAGTTGATTAATGGATTTGAGCAGTATGCATATTCTGTGTCCACGTGCATTTTCTTAGGGAGAAGGTCTACTGCTTGTGTCAGATTATCCAAAAAGTTCAGAACTCCCCAAAATGGAAAAAACCCAAAAACCAAGCAAACAGTTGACTCATTTGAAAAAAAAAAAAAAAACCAAAAACTAAAATGTGACAGTTACAGGACTTTGTGATAAATTCTTTACAAACACAGTCTAACAATGACAATAGGTTTACAGAAAAGGCAAATGAAGCTTCCTGGGTCCTTTGTTGTGTCAGGTGTCAGAGTTTGGATATTGGAAATAGAGACAGCACAGATGTTGAGGTTGGAAACTAGCAGAATCAGAAAAGTCACCAGTGGAATATAGTGGATCAGGAGGATGTGGAAGTGAACTGGATTTACCAGTCCTGGGCCCTGTAGACCATGTGGGCCTGTACAGCTGGAAGAGCTCTGACACACTCTGGGCCTGGTAAAGATCTAACGTCTCCCTTGCCTCAACCTAGTCTTGGGTTCTTATTCTAGCAAAATCCCTAAGAGGGCTGAATGGGAATTTTTGCCAAATAGGGGCTGGATAATCAGTATAATCTCTGAAGGAGCACATTGTCTTTGTTTTTTCTACTCTACCTAGTGTCCAAATACTCCTTATGGCAAGGCTGGTGGGGAAAGCGCTCACGACAATCTCCACCAGAACTTCAGTCACTGAGCCCAGAGCAGATGCTCCAGGACAAGCAAACCACCTGCATGAGGGTTTCTGAGGTGACGTCCATGCTGCAGGAGCTCCTGGACTCCGCCATGTTCAACCAGGGGGAGGTCAAGACCATCAGGTACATGTCTGCTGTGGTGGAGAACCTCAACAAGGCCTTGATCCTCCAGCAGAAGGAGAACAGGACCCTGGAAACCAAATACAAGCACATGAAAGGAGAAATGACCAAAGAGCTCAGCAGTCAGAGGCTGTACTTCCAGAAGTCTCTCAAAATCCTTGAAAACAAGAAGGATGCCCTCCTGAAGCAGGTAGAAATTCTAGAGAAGAAATATCATGATCTTCACCTGATTAAGCATGCCTTAGAGTTCCAGCTGAAGGAGGCCCAGGGTGCCAGCAATGACGCAGAAGACTCAGTCAAGACTTCTATTGAGGTCTCGAGTCCCTTTGAAAAGGAGGCCATTCCTAAAAATGAACCACTTGTGGAGCTCCCAGCAGAAGTCTCCGTCTCTCAACTGGAGCCCAAGATAGAGGAGCACTTGCTTCTCCCACGTTCTCCAAGTCCCACAGCCGTGGCCTATAACAGTGATAATACACCTTCAGCAGAGCAGCCATTTCCTACCACAGCCACACACTTGAGGACTGCAGATGTTCACCACAGCAAGGACGCCGAAAGTCTCCCACCTGCATTGCCACCTTCAATGGATTATGAGCTTTCTAAGCAATGGGATAGGCCAGAAAGTCTGAGTCACAAAGATGAACAGCAGGATGATCTCTTCCAGAATTTGCAGGGAGAAGAATGCCAAGTTGAGTTTCACTCCAGGGAGCAAGAGTCCCCAGAAAGCTCTAGGAAGGTTTACTCAGAGAGTAGGGAGGAGCACATGGAGGCGGAACTCAGCTGGCAGAGGCGCAAGCGGCAGTGGCTGAAGGAGGAGAAGCTGTGGCTGCAGAGACAGAAGAACTGGGCCCTGCTTGAGTGGGAGCACCAGGAGAAGCTGCAGCAGTGGGAGATGGACAATAAGATGAGAGAAGACTGGCAGAGATTCATCCAGCCAGAAAAGGCTCAAGGGAGCCCAAGGAGGGAGCCAGAAAAGTCAAGGAATGACACAGAGAAGATGATCTTCCTGCCCACTAGTCGAAGGAGGGAACTGGAGAAGGCAGAGCAATCACTGGTGCCTCCTCCAAGCCGAGTCCAGTCTGCTCACCAAGGCAGGAGGCCCTTCTTGCCCAGGTCTCGTAGTATCCGGAAGTCTGCCCCAGGGATTCAGAGGACCATAAGTTCAGCAGACCCTAAACTAAAACCATGGACACCCCAGGTTTGCACAAAACCCAAGAAATCAGCCTCCTTTCCTGTGACGGTGACACCCAGCAGAAAGGTGGCTCAGGCCTCTTTGCAGACATCGTTGGCAGCTCCCACAGAGGAGGTGTACTGGAAAGACCTGGAGGCCCAGAGGAAGAACCCAGAACTCCCGAGTGAGGCTTTGGAGTTAGGGCCAGCCAAGCAACTGGACAGCAAGTCCTTGGCGCTCACCCCCAGCCCCGTGGGGCTGGATTCACTCAGGCTGCAGTACCTGTGCCATAAGTACATCACCTACAGACACTTCCAGAGACTCCAGTAAGTTGGGTTGACCCATCATCCACTAGGGACTCGCCCACAACCACTGTGATGTCCAGACAAAATAAAAAAACAGGAGAGAAAATCACAGGGCAGGGGTGGATGGGAAGCATCAACCCACACCACAACAAGGTTTCCCTGAGACTGGGGACTGGCAAAGGATGCCTGGCCTGGGGCCTTTGGGCAACCCTTAAGGGTTGTAGTGCCTTTTACCTCTAAGCTCATTTTCCTATTCCTTCCCCTGCTTTTAACACCTTGCCCATAACCCACTTTGCTTTCTTTTTTTATTCCTTGAGGCTCATCTGATACCACCTTCCACTTCTCTATTTTCCTCATCTCTCGTTTCCTCATGTTTCTTTTGCTCCTCCCAGGAATTACAGAAAACAGAGGTATACCTGATTAATTGACTAAGGGGACAAAAATTGACAAGAGGATACCTTCCTACCCACTACTATTTCTTCTCATTTCTCAGACAAGAAGTGATCAACCACATCCAAGTCATGCAACTAACTGGGGCTACCTCCAAGTACCGAAAGCTCTACACATTCCTGGAAAACACAGATCATCTACAGAACCTCAAGTTGCAGACCTGGACGAAGAAACAGAAGGACCTGGAAGAGAAGTCCCGAGAGCGTCTGAGCAGAATGGCGACCACGTTCCCCAAAGTGGAACAAAAAAAGCCACAGGTCAGTCTATCTCTTTGAGGGGTCTTCTTTTCTACTCCCCTGACTTGCAACTTCTGCAGGCAAACAAAGCCAGGAGGGATGGCGCTAGTGGGGACATGTGGTATGACTTTGACTGAGGCAGATGGGAATGGAGGGGACAGGCTACAGGCTCTGAATCACAAGAGAAGGCAGAGGTGCCTGGGTTGTAAAGAAGGGCAACTTTTTCCAATCTTGGGACTCTTCAAAAAGAGCTGTGGAAAGAAAAGACCTTCCAGAAGGCAGGGAGAGCCTCAGAGCTGACTCTGCCCTGGAATTCTTTTTCCCCTGTGGTTCTGTCTGCCTGTGCTGGGCTAGCTCTCCATGGTTAGTGCAGAGTTACCACTTAGAACTACTCTCTCGATGAAGTCTTTGTCTTTTGGGTCAGCTCCGCTGGGTTGTGAATTCCAGGTCTCTGCTTTCTTGCTTTATTCCCTTGTTTAAGTGGAGCATCTCTTCTGCTTACTTTCTGACAGTGTGTGGGAAGTAAAATCACTGAAACACCCTGGTTGTCTGCAAATGTCTTCATTTAATATCCACCTTTACTCTTGACAGGCACTGGAATATGGGATCTTAGGGGTAGAATTAATCCCTCCCACCCCTAATTTTGAAGGCACTGCTCATTGCCTTTCCCAGTTCTGATGTTGCTGTTGAGAGTCTGTTCCTTTAGGCCTGACCTATTTTTACTCTCTGAAAGTTGGCAGGATCTTCTTTGCCTCCAGCGTCCCACAATTTCACGATGAAGTGCCTGATATGGGCCTATTTTTATTCCTTTTGTTAAACATTTAGTTAGTACTTTTAGTTTGAAAACTTTTGTTCTTCAGTTCTGCCATGTCTTCTCAAATTATACATTAGATCATCATTTCTCAAAGTGTGGTCCACTGACCCCAGGGGGGTCCCTCAAGCCTTTCAAGGGCTCCCTGAAGTCAAAACTATTTTCATGGCAATCAGATCTTACTTGGCCTTTTCACCGAGTTGACATTTGCAGTGATGGCGCGAACGCTTTGTTGTCAGGTGCCCTTGAGTGAGCCCTGCCTCTCAGGAGCCCCTGCACGGGGGAGGATGAAACGACGCCTGGTCCTGCACTGGCCCCACAAGCTCTGCTGTGTTTGGCCCACCGAAGCAGCCATGGGTCAGTCTATTTCTCTGAGGGGTCTTCTTCTTTTCTACTGATCTGCTTGACCAAAGGAGTACAGTGACACAGTACATAATGCATAGGGCCGCTAGCTGACAGGTCAGCAGTTTGAATCCATCAGCCCCTTACAGGAGAAAGACGAGTGCTTTCCTCTCCTAAACATTTAGTCTTGGAAACCTGGTGGAGAGCCACTATTAGTCAGAAACAACCTGATGGCAGGGGGGTTTGGTTTTATTTTACCAAGCAGGATGGCTTTCTTCCAGGACGTGTCTTTTCTAATACCATCTCCAAAGTATTCAAGACAAAGTCTCACCATTCTTACTTGTAATGAGTATTCCGGCTGCACCTCTCTCAAGACAGACTTGTTTGTTCTTTTGGCAGCCTGATATATTCACTATTCTTGGCCAAAACATAATTCAAAGGCAGTCAGTTTTCTTTATTCAATGCAAAAGGCCATTCTGCAAATCTTTAGCAGTTCAAATCGACTCACCACAATGTAGACGGAAGAAAGGTAGTTTCCTGTCTCTGGGATCTACAGCCTTAAAAACCCAATGGAGGGCTGCCATGTGTCAGAGTCCACTTGATAAAGTAAGCTGGGACCCAGTCGTGGTGAGTCACAGCCAACGGCTAGAAAACCCATAATGAAAACTGCTGTACCACAAGCCACCCCCAGGCTCTTCAAGCCATTGGACTTTTCATAGTCAAAGGGTTTATTTCCCCCTCATAACCATTTCATTAATAACTCTTCATGAAAGCATATAAGCCAGACACTGCATGTCTTTATCTCCATTTATTTTAGATAGCAAATGAACTTGCCCATCCTAATCAACCAGGACTTTGAGGAGATAAGTGTATTTCTTTCTCCAAGAATCTTCTGTTCCTGCCAGAACATCTGTATCTATAAGAAATAGATATGAGCCAAGCTCTGGTGGCCTAGTGGCAAGAAGCTGCACTGCAATTCCAGAGGTGTGTAGTTCGAATCCACCAGATGCTCTGCTGAAGAAGGAGGAACAATCTCCTCCTGTAACAGTCAGATCTGATCTGATGGTACACACATAATAATACAAATTTTAAAAAAAGAAATAGATATGAATGGAAATCCAATTCTCGGTAAACTTTCATTAACATCTCAATAAAAAATTTAAAAAAAATAGAGCTTTTAATGGTCTAATTTTATCTCTACTGTTGGCTTGTTAGCTCCTCTTTATGTTTTGTTATTTTTAATGGTTGCCTGGGATATAAACCTTTAACTTATCACAATATATCATCAAACAATATTATATTATTTCATGTGTAACATAAGACTCTTACAAAAATATATACCTAGTTCCTCCTCCTGACTTTTGTCCTATTGTTGTCATACATTTTAACTCTATATACATTATAAATCCTATAACCATGTTATTATTTTTGCTTTTTTGTTGTTGTGTGCCATAGAGTCGGAACAGACCCATAGCTGACCCTCCAGTGAGTTTATAGAGGGTGTTCATCGCATGGGAGGAGACTGCCCATCTTTCTCCAGTGGAACAGCTGGTGGATTCAAACCTTGTGCTTTCAGGATTGCAGTGCAGTTTCTTGCCACTAGGCTACCAGTGCAATAATCAACACAGTTTTGTTGATGTTGTTGTTGTTAAGTACCGTCGAGTCATAGGCAACTCATAGCGACCCTATGAACGAAAGTCCTGGACACCTCCTGTATAACTTTTGTCCTTTCTCCAGGTTCATATGGTTTCCAGAGGCAAGCTATTACAGAAGTGGATGCCACTCCTGCTTCCAAGTTTCTTTTAATTGGGAGCTACACCAAACACTCACTATCCTCCATGGATAATCATTAATGCATCTGACACATCAGTGTCAGTGTTCAGCTTCACAGCAACCACAAGTGGGCTATATGACCTAGAAGAATGTTTGAACAAAAGCAATGAAAGACAGGCCTGGGGGCTGTGGATTAAAAGTCACCCACCTTTGGCTGGGTAGCATCGCTTTCTGTCCACTTTGGCCAACTGATCACTCTCTATGTTGATGTTATTGTTTTAGACAGTAAAAATATACATAGCAACATATTTACCATTCCCAGAGCCCTTTATTCCTACACTCTATTGTTTTTTTTATGCCTGAAGTATTTACCATTTTTAATAGTGCTAGTCTATTGGCAATGCATTCTCTCAGCTTTGGTATGGTTGAGAAAGTTTATTTAGCCTCCAATTTTGAAAGGTCCTTTTGCTGAGTACGAGATTTTGGGTTAACATCTCCCTCCCTCCTTCACTATGTTAAAGTTATTGAGGCATAAAGTGTGCTAGTCATATGTGATCTCTGACAACTGTCTTGCCTTTCCCTTCCCAAAGCTCCTCTTCAGCCATGGCTGTTCCTTCAGATGCATGCATAAAGAGTTGAGGGCACCTCTGTGTAGTTATGGAGCTTTCTCGGCATGATTTCTGTTATTCTGGTCATGTTGGCTTCCTTGAACTCTAAACTCTGTCTCAACACAGCAAGGCTACAGGACTTTGTTTAATTCCCTCGACTGCAGCCGAGGAACTCTCTCCGGGCTGGGGGCAAATCTGAGCCCTCACCTCACTTGTTGCCCTTTTGTCAAGGATCATTCACCTTCACTGCCTGTTGTTGAATGTCTGAAAATAATTTCATATATTTTCTCTGGTTTATAAGTTGTTTAAGGCAGAGATTCATATCTTGTTTCTGCTATTCTGTTGTAGGCAGGACTGTGCAGCATTTTGGTCTGATATACATAAAGGTACTGTGAGCTGGAGCTGACTCAAAAACTAACAGCACAGCCTGAGAGGGTTTTTTTGTTATTGTTGTTGTTTTATAATAATGATTTTTAAAATTAATTTTAATGAAAGTTTACAGAGACTTAGGGTTTCCAGTCATTCATTGTTGCACTTTTCTCCCTACCCACCCCGGCCCCTCAATTCACTCTTCTTGAAAATAAAGACAAACTCTTTCATTGTTATACAGTCCCTCCCCCACAAGTCCACTCCACTGTGCAGCCTTCACTCTGGACTTCTGTAAAGACAAGAATACCCATTCATATATCTCTTTTAAATAGTTCTCTCCCTCATCTATTCCAATGCAATGTACATCATTCCTCCTCTCCTTTTCTGTCATCTCTCAACCCTGATGTCAGTCCTGTTTTACAATAGTGGCACTATGCAGTATTTGTCCTTTTGTGACTAAGATATTTCACTCAGCATAATGTCCTCTAGGGTCATCCATTTTTCATAATATTTCATGAGTTCCTTGTTTTTCAATGCTGCATAGTATTCCATTGTGTGAATATACCAGAGCTTCTCAATTCATTCTTTTGCTAATGGGCACTTTGATTGTTTCCAGCTCTTTGCTATTGTGAATAAAGCCACAATAAACATGGGTGTGCATACAACCTGAGTTTTTAAAAAATTATTGTACTAATAAGATCTATTTTTAATGTTATATGTTTCAAGGATTCTTATTTGATTTTTTTTCATATACTTTTTGGCATGTACTTGAATTGCTGGACTTGGACAAATATTTCTTTCCTCTCAGAAACTAGGCCCATGTGTTAGGAACCACTGGCGTAGGGCTACAGGCTACAGATACAGAAGATCTTATTTCCTCATTCCTTCTATTGAGGACCAACTCTCATTTTTTTTCATTTCCTCATTTAGAACCCACATTTCTCACTGGAAATCAACATGAGGAAAACCTTACTCTTTAGACAGGAACCCACCCAATTTGTTTTGGCAGAATTCAGGATGATAACCATCCTAAATATACTGACATGGTATATATAAAGTATAACCCACATATATCCTAGGGCCTTACATCATCCATTTTTGCCACTGTAGCCCTTAAGGCTGCTCTGGTGCCACAGTTTATAGAGGCTTATGCTGCTACCTCAAAGGCCTCCCTGCTCATCAGCTGCACCAGTGGCTCCATGGGAGAGAGATGGGCAATCTCCTCGCAAGCAATTTATAGCCTCTGGAGGGTCAGCTGTGAGTTGGTTCTGACTCAGCAGGAATTAGTTGGGTTTCATTGATCCCATTAAGGGATTCAAGGACCGAGTGAAGGGGAAAGTGCAAGAAAGGGTTTGATGGTGGGATGGTAGATTTAGAATGCCAGTCCTAAATTGATCCCATTAAGGGATTCAAGGTTCAGCAATAAAAACTAACTAGAAAGAACTGATCTTTAATAGAATTGTTGAAATTGCTGTTATGTGACATCAAGTGAAAACTGACTGACTCATAGCTGACCCTCCAGTGGTTTTTCAGAGGCTGTAAATTTCACAGGAGGAAACTGCCTATCCTTCTTCTATGGAGTGGCAGGTGGATTTGAACTGTGTGCCTTTGGATTTGCAGCACAACTTCTTACTACTAGTCCACAGTAAGGAAGTCTAATTTGTTATCCTAGTAATACTTCTTTTCTCTTTTTTCTACTCTCACTCTTCTATATCTAGAAAACCCTTCTTCAATTCCAAATACATACCCAAACCTTTTGTTTTCTTGACCTGTCTAACTTATGGGCTATGGCTCTCTGAGCGGCAATGGGTCCACGTACATATCAGTCATTGTCTACACATTGTATTTTTTTTAAGTAAACTTAATACCATATGGGAATCCCTGAAAGTTTTAATAGCTAAGGTGGATCTAAAATAATACAGATACTTTTTTTTTTAAAAAAAGCAAAATTCTATAATGCCAAAGAGATAAAATCAAATTCTGAATATTGGAATCAAAGACTCCTACCTCGATGGTCTTCTTCTCTGGCTTCTTTTTGCTTTACTGTTTTACCCATTGTATAAATGCTCCAAACAAATGAGAAAACAAGATTAACTAAGCAAGTATGAATGCATACTTTTTAGGATCATTTATAATTGTGTCCCTATTATACAAGTGCTAGGGTTATATTCATAGGCATATTTTTATATGACAGAAATAGCTTTCTGCATCAGTTATAATGTATGTTTTCTTACTAGACTCTAGCTTTTACAGATTCTCCAGTATTACATCTTTGGAGTTGGTAGGGCTGCCTTCAGTTCTCTTTACTCTTTCTACTGCTACTAGAGACAGACATGGACCTCATGGAGATAGGTAACACCTTACCAAGGACTGGAGAATCTCACAAAAGTGACTTTAGAACCTGCTGAGATATCCTCAGGAATTGAGTATGGAAGTATCTTCCTGTGAGTCCTGAGTACCACTGACCTGAGACCGGAGAAAGCAGTGTGCTGAGGGAGTCAATGTTAAGTGCTGGCACCAAGGAGTTGAAAGGCTGTTGGCTGTAGACATAATCATCTTCACAACACTTTATAACAGTTCTGTTAATGTCATGTTGGTATCTTGACTTGCCAAGTAGTTTTGGAGTTTAGCAAGAAAGAGAGCATATGACAGTTTTTTCACTGTGAGCGTGCCTCCAACTCCTTGTCTAATGCCAGGGACAGGACCACATGACAATATCCTGGAATACGACAAGTATTACAAAGGGAATTAGTGGAGGGGGAGGGAAGAAAATGTGTAGGAATGAATGGATGAAAACCAATTCCTCACTAAAATATTTTTTAAAAAGAAACCAAACATATACTAAGCATTCCAGCCACAAACTAGCATCATGCAGATGCTCTCAGAGGTATCTCCTGTGCTGTTGAAATTTCTAATGGAAGGTCTCCCTAGGCCTTCCTCTCTTTGCTCACTCCAAGCCCAACATGCCTAGTTAGGCAACGCCTCCTCCCACCTTACAGAGGGGATAATTTCCAATTTCCATGATGTCTTTCTGTTGGTCTCACTAGCTCCAACAAGAGTGGAACGCTCATTTAAACATCCCTGCGGCCACTTCCCCAATGCCAAGGAAAAGCAAGTTGTCTCCAGCCTTCTCCCAGTTGATCCGTTCCAGGGGCTCACTCAGCAAGCAGCCCCTCGAGCCCTTTCTGTCCAAACCGGAATGTGTGACCCCATGGACAGCCTGGTAAGCACAATGAAGCCAAGGGGGCAGCTAGCTGTATGGGTGGGGATGCCAGATAGCAGGGTTCAGGGATGGCCAGACTGGGGGTGCTGGAGGCTCGGTAACAGTACAGACATGCAGAGCGCACTATCACGGGTTCAAGGCACCTGCCTTCTCCACTGCCCTGCTCAGCTTTGACCCATGAACCTAGAGGGACATGTATGTCATGGTGTGTGGGCTTCTGAGACCAGCCTGACAGAGGGTGTTTCAGACTACAAATGTAAGACTCTGAGGGCTCAGAGCTGAGAACTAATGGTGATTTCTATGTTGAGCATTTACCCAGCATTTACCATTGGCCTGTGCATATAAATAAGCCCAGTTCTTCCTACTTTGTGACCACGCTCCCTCAAACTTAAAAAGAGATGACTGTGAACTTTCTGTTGGGGGCCCTAGAACTTTGAGATCCATATTAGCCTTAGTGTGGCCAGTTCACATCTCCCATCCAGGACATGCACACAAGGCACAAGGGCTACCTGGTAGCCTCTTCCAGCAGTTCCTCAGCCAGAGGCACCCAGGAAAGTGAAACATTGTCAGTTGGTGAGGGGTAAGGGCTGACAAAGGACGGCAGTGACAAACTCTTTGAGGAGAGAAGAAAACAAGGCTCAGTGACATGGGTCTTATGGTCTTGGATAGCTAGTTACAACTTGTTCTCCATGTCTAAGCTTTTGTCTCTTTCACCCTTCTGCCCTCTAGCCAACAGGAGAGGCAGATGAAAGCTGTCTGGAAGAGTGATGTGGCCTCCTCCAGCCACCCAGTAGAGAAGAAGACTCCCCTCAGCCTGCAGTGGGACCAACTTGGGGGGTACCCAGACATCCCCAGGCTGTTGGCACTGGATGTACATTCCTCCTACTACAAAAGCTTGCTGTTCCTCAAGACCCAGTAAGTGCATGGCAGGATGGTTCACCTGGATTCAAGGGGACCTGCCCACTATGGACACTGTCCCTGTCCAAGGGCCTGAGAGGTCTTTTTCTCAATATTATCAGTGACCCTATGTATTGGCCTTCACCAGAGATGCTTATTTGCCATTAATTTGAGTCCCTACACCAATACTGTATCACTTCTCTTAAAAGACTTTATATAGTACTACAACTTTACAGTTTTCCCTTTATACTTATTTCCTATGTTGCACATGAATTCTTAACAAGCTACATCTTATTCTAGGGCTGTGAAAGAGCCAGACAGAGGAAAAGGGAGAGGAAGGAAACCATGAATCAGACAATATATCAGAAACATTCTCATCTCATTACTGTCTTTGAGAACTGTCCATGGGAAAAGCAGCTCAGGAAAGAGAGGCAGGACTCAGAAGGCCAACAAGAAGCTTGAAGGCTAACTTTGAAGATGCCACTACTGAGAACTCAACGGTCTTTAAGGGAACATTTCTAGTTCACCAATCTCATCTTCTCTTGTGGCCCGAGCCTAATTAAAAATCCTGGCTAGCCTGCCAGGTGAGACCTAACTGGAAGCAGGAAGTGTAAGATGCTGCTGCTGCATCCTCGGGCCAGGGTATTGCCTAAGGTAGGATGGTGTGAAGCATCACAGAAAGTCAGTCCCTGGTTCTGCCTCCACTATGAAATAAAGAGTAGATTGCTATTGTTAGCAGCTGTTAAGATGATCCAATTCATGGACACACATGCTGGAATCAGACTATTGTGATCCACAGATTATATATAGATACATTATTTCATTTATCTTGTTTGTTAAAAATATACACAATTAGCAAAATATACACCAATTAATCAGTTTTCACATGTGTCACTTAGAGACAATGATTACAGTCTTTGAGTTTTGTAACCATTCTCATCCTCCTCTTTCTGAGTTGTTCTTCTCCATCAGCATAGCCCCACAGGACCCCTAAGGTTCTTATCTAATCTTTCAAGTTGCTGCTATAATTTTATCAATATAGATCACTTTTAAGAGATAATAACACTCAAGGCAGACATTTTTTCCAACTAAGCTAAACTCCTGGATAATCTGTTCTGCATATAGATTGAAAAGGTATGGAGATAAGACACCTCCCTGGCATACACCCTTCCCAGTTTTGAACCATGCAGTGTTTCCTTGTTCTGTTCTGACAACTGCTGGGCTCTGTGAGGAGAAATGTGGCATCAGGATTGGAGGAAGACTCATCAACAATCTGTGTTATGCAGATGACACAACCCTGCTTGCTGAAACTGAGGAAGACCTGAAGTGCTTGCTGCAGAAGGTCAAGGAGTGCAGCTTTCAATATAGATTGAAGCTCAACATCAAGAAAACAAAGATTCTCACCACTGGGCAGATTGGCAGCATCATGATGGATGGTGAAGGGACAGAGATTGTAGACAGCTTCAGTTTGCTTGGCTCCACAATCAACACTCTTGGCACCAGCAGCCAGGAAATTAAAAGATGTATTGTGTTGGGGAAGCCTGCTGTCAGAGACCTCTCCAGAGTACTGAAGAGCAATGGTGTCAGTCTGGAGACTAAGGTGCGCCTAATATAGGCCATGGGTTTTGCAGTCACTTGCTATGCATCAGAGTGCTGGACAATGACTAGAGATAATAGAAGGAGAACTGATGTCTTGACCCGTGGTGCTGGAGAAGAGTATTGAATATACCATGGACTGCTAAGAGAACAAACAGGTTTGTCCTAGAGAGGATGAAACCAGGCTTCTCCTTGGAGGCAAGGATTCTGAAGCTTCATCTGACATACTTTGGACATGTTGCAAGGGTGTAGGGGCAGCGCAGGAGAGGAAGACCCTTGATGAGATGGATTAATTCAGTGACTGGGGTAATAGGTGTGTCAGAGACAGTGAGATTGGCACAGGATAGAGCAGGGTTTAGGGCTGTTGTATATAGGGTTGCTATGAGTTACAGGTGACTTGATGGCACATAACAACAACAAGTAAAGTAGTGTTTGGTTTTAAGAAGTATTCAGGACATTTTCTTGGCTCCAGATTTAAAGATTATCCCGGGGCCCTCGTTTAAGGGATTCATCAAAACTTCATGGCTCCAAGAAGTCTACAACCTTAAGAGCATGTGAAATTCTGTTCTGCGTTCTCCTTCTTTTGGTCAGGATTCTTCTATGAAATCTTTGATCCAAATATTTAGTAATGGTGGTTGGGCACTATCCAGTTTTTCTGGTCTCATGGCCAAGGAGGCAGTTCATAGAGGCAATCAGTCACACATATCATAGCCTTCTCCTATTCCTGACATTCCTTCATACTCGACAGTTTCAGGTGAACAGAATGCATAGGGTTTTCACTGACTAATTTTGGAAATATATCATCAGGTCTTTCTCCCAAGTGTGTCTTAGTCTGGATATTTTTCTGAAATTTGCTCAGAATCATAGCAATACACAAGCTTCCACTGACACATGAGTTGTTGTTAAGTGCCCTTCAGTCGTAGACAACTCATAGCAGCCCCATGAACAAAAGACCTGAACATGTGTATAACTTTCATCCTTTCTCCAGGTTCATAGGGGTTTGGGGGCATGCTATTTCGGAAGTGGATGACACTACTACTTCCAAGCCTGTTTTAATCTGGGAGCTCCACCAAACACTGTCCACCATGGATAACCATTATCGCATTTGACACATCAGTGTCACAGTCTGACACATTAATACTTACTAATGCACAGTGGCAGGACTCAGATCTATATGGAAGGTGAAGATTCTACCACTCAACTACAAGTGTCCCCAGCTTAGTAGACAGATAATCTGGTTTTCAATTTCTGAAGAATTTATAAGGTTTGTCTCTGTTGTTGTGTGTGTGAAATGGTTTTTAAAGCAAACAGCAAAACACTGGGTAGGCTGGATATAGCAAACAGAACAGGAAACAGGCAAAACAACACAATGGCAGACTCAGTAACCCAGAAGTCAGCTGGGGTCACACCCCTTGGAGATTTGTCTAAAATTACCCCAGGTCCTTTCCCCATAGCATTGGTTCACCTCTGAGGTCCCTCTGCCTCTTCTATGCATTCTTGCTAGTGTCACTTCCTTTGTGTAAATATAAACAAACACATGTTCCACTTGACACCAAGAATTTCATTATTTTAGTAACGGAAAAGTTAAAGGGATGAAGAGAAAAGGAATTCACATGGAATAGTGTATCAAAGTAGCCCTTCTTTCTTCTCTCTTTCCCCCTCCTTTTTTGGTATAATGTGCCAAATTCTAAAATTTCTTTATGTCTCAAGCAGAGCTGTTCCTCCCACACCCAGGCTTCCACTGGGATCTCAGCTTTTAGCCCAAGCACTTATCAAAATATTGTTCCCAGCAGAAACAGTCTTCTACTTAAGGGAATTTAGATGAATGCAAATTTTTTTCTTATTACTCTTTCCAACTCTGTGTAAGTTTAGCTTATCATGCTACCAGACATAGAGGCAAAGCCCTTTTGACCTTATTTCCTTATCTACATTTCAGGTTGGTACTAGCTACCAGGACATCAGGCTAGTTAGTAGTGCCTGATGCTTCAGTGCAATGACTCTCCACATCATCTTGGGATCCCATTACTGTGGCCCAAGGATCCAAAACTCTTTAACAAATACTGTCAAGGCTACTGTGGCTTTGGAGGTAGGGACTTTCCTTGGGAGTATGCTATGTGTATCTTTCTGGAGACATTTGCGTCCACTCTGCAAAGTGCATCTTCTCCATGGCTGTCTGTTCCTGGTCCCCTCTGAGTCCTCCTGTCCACTTACTATGTTGATCCAGGTCACTCACAATTTTGTGGCCAAGTAGTGGTGCTGACAAACCCATTTTCTTGTCTGACTGGCCCTGACAACCCATTCTACCTCTAGGTTTGTACTCTGCATCCTCCCATATGAGATGTCCTCTCAGGATGGAGAGAAGAGCTATCCAGTCTCTTTCTGTGGTTTGGGACACTGAGAAGTCTGTATCACTCAAAACTCACAGGCATTCATCACCAAAAGCTCTCTTACTTTATCTTCTTTTTTTTTTTTTTTGGAACCATGGTCTCCTTTGTGATACTTTTATTTTTCTACCTGGGATGTGAACAGTGTGAACATGGGTCTGAAAACCAGGTGCACTGAAACATTCCAGTAAACCAGCAACAAAGAGGGGCTGGTGGACACTGAGAAACAGGGTGTGGCGAGTCCAGAACAGCTTCCCCCGAGGGACTTTTGGTCCAAGTCCACAACCCAAAGGTGCTCTAGGCAGGGTGGAGTGGGACCATGCAGTGCAGACTGGCAGTAAGGACAAGAAGGACCAGTCACAATGGGGGTTTGGTGCTGCGCATGACTTTATTAGCTTCTGGGCTCACGCTTTCTGTTGTTGCTTGATGAAGTTGATCAGCCCATTGGTGGAAGAATCATGAGAGGTCACTGGGTTGGTGCCCTCAAGTTCAGGTTCAATTTTCTTAGCCAGCTGCTTGCCTAGCTTCACTCCCCACTGGTCGAAGCTGTTAATGTCCCAGATGACTCCCTGAATGAAGATCTTATGCTCATACATGGTAATCAAGGCTCCAAGAATAAATGGCGTAAGCTTGGTGAATACAATGGAATTGGTTGGGCGATTTCCTTCAAAGACCTTGTGTGGCAGCAGCTTTTCTAATTCCTCTGGACTCTTTCCTGTCGCCTGGAGCTCTTTCCAGGCCTCCTCTTTTGTCTTCCCCTTCATCAGGGCCTCAGTCTGGGCTAAGAAGTTGGCCAGAAGGATCTTGTGATGCAACCCATTCCGTATAGGGTGCTGGGTCTGGACCGGGATAAGGAAGTCACAAGGTATCATCCTGGTGCCTTGGTGGATAAGCTGGTAGAAGGCATGCTGGCCATTGGTCCCTGGCTCCCCCCACAAGATGGGGCCCGTCTGGTGGTCCACACGGACGCCGGACTTGGTAATGTACTTCCCATTTGATTCCATGTCTCCCTGCTGGAAGTAGGCAGCAAAGCGGTGGAGGT